TGATGTCATGGAAATTCACTGAAAGCCAGTGGGTCGATATAAATAATGAGAGTCTGTTTTGATAGTTTCGTTTTCGGGAACTTTACCGAACAGGATCACATCTCTGCAATCCTACGATCTTGGCACAGAATACTGACACGAATTCGGTGTTCAGAGTTCCTCAGTTAATTTAAAGCATAAAATTCCATTACACGTCAGAGTCTTGTTTTAAACTAGATATACTTAACTCCGGCCAGAACTTTCCAAAATATTTCTGGGGTGGTAAACCAAGCGAATCAATTATATTGTCACTGTGACTCTGTCCATATTTCCGTGTTTCCGTCAACACAGGTTTAGTAAGTTATGGAGTTCTTTCTATCTATGAATTTTTATATTGTTCTTAGAAAATCAAACTTTGCCCTAAATTCACTTACGCCAACTACGGTTAATGGCGAAAAATTACCGAATGAAACAAACACAATCACAGATGCAGTGCTTTTGTTGCTTTGTGTGAGTTTCTGTAGATGAGTTCGGGGATTCCCCTTTATTAACAAAGGTCAAACAACAAGTTTCCGCATGATTTAATTCCCAAATGTAAAACTCTCAGAGACATTAGATTACATCTAGGTCCGTCTGCAAAACAAGGAGGGGTTCAAGGCAGATGGAATCCTCTGATAGTCCAGCCCGCAACACATGTAAGTGAAGTGTGTGTATGTGTTATGAAGAGAAAAACTATTGCATTTCGACAATTAAGGATGTTGACTACACCAGCGTAAATCCTAGATTTGGAACACTCTTAGAGTTCTGATTAGGCACTGGATTTGCTTCGGAGAACACAATATGCATTGCAGTCAAGTTTTCTAGCCTGGCTTCGTTCGGTTGAATATCGCGTTGTCATTTCCCGAAAACCACGTTATAGTCAAAAGCCATGGGAAACGACCAAATCAGGTTTTAAATTATCAATTATTGACGTTTGCGTCGTCCATACTTGAATTGTCGATAATAGGGTTGTGCCCCGACTCGTTTAATTTCCATGGACTCGAAGATTAAACACGCAATGACAGCCAAGTGCCAGGCATACACACGACAGGATGCAAATGACTCACTCTTTGTGTTACGACTTTAATGCAACGCAATCAGAGTTCACACACCACCTGGCTAAGTACTTTCTACTGAACAGCTATGAGTATTATCAAATCACATCGAATGGAAACTTTCAAACTCCATTCAAACCATAAAAATGCATATGTGGGCGCACTGCTATGGTGACAAACCTCATTCTAAGGATTAACATCAACAATATATATTTAAGTTCACATGGCAACCAGGTGGACAATCAGACATGGTTTGGTGCTACTCTGGTTTACAGATTTAATGAATGTAACCGAAGAAGTTACAATTCATAGACCCAACGTTTCGACACTCCTGTCTAGTGCCTTCATCAGGGGTGATCTAAACGCTACAACAAGAGGTCCTTTTATACGATCACTAATTAGCTGCCTTTTTTTTTTCTGACGATGTGTAAATAGGCGACAGGAAGTAAGCCGTCATCATCACGATTTAAAGGAGCGTGGGCGGAGTTAATATGCCAAGCTTCCAAACAAAGTCGCTGGTGGTAACGCCGATTAGTGGTGATAATGTTAGACTTATCCCACCCAATTGTATGGTTAGTTAGGCATGTGTGCTCCGATAGAGCTGAATTTTCTCTTTTGAAAAAGAAAACCGCTTTTTGATGCTCTTTCAAACGTGTACCAAACTGAAGTTTGGTCTGTCCGATGTATTCGTTGTCACAATCGTTGTAAGGAATAGAATAAATGGCGTCGGTTCTTTGTTCTTTCAACAAGGTTACCCTGTTGACTTCGGTTAGGTTATATTCACTCAGCCATTCGTGACTTCATTTTGATCAACAAACGGCTTCACCATATCGATTCAATCTATTTCATAAACTGCGTAGTGCTAAGCGAAGGTTTTCCTCCGTTCGTCTTGTGACAAATCCAATTTGAAAATCTATGAAATCGTCTATTATATCTTAAAGAAGGATAATCTTTTTTCTAATACGTGAATATTAATTAGTACAGAGTAACAAAACTAGTTAATCTCTAGTCTCTCTTTGACCGATTTTATGATGGAGACCCGCCAAAATCAGATGCACACGTGTACAGATAAACAACAATATCTTAATGATTCAAACAATGCTAGTCAGAAACACGCGAACAAAACGAACGGCATGATCATTTGCGACTGACCACAGCGTGTCAGTGCAGTCCTCACACTAGAGAGTATTAGCTGAACTGCAAGAGAAGAACGACATAAACTGTCCTTGACACTTTCGTCAGAAGAGAATAATGGTCATTAATCGTCACGTTTTCAGAAAGATCTCCCGAAGCTCTTTAGTAGTCATGCAGTTGTGCGAAAAACCAGTTCAATGCACAGAGGATGTTGCAGATGACGCTTTGGTTTAGAGAAAAAAGATGTGATCACTGTCGAGAAACAAACAATAATATCTGGTTTCGTAGATTGTCAAGAACTCAATCGTGGAACTTTTTACCAAACATCAAATTGATTTCAAATGAAAACCATAAAAACTCTAATAATCAATAATCACACATACATGTAATCGATAATCGGAAATTTATTCGTATCAGGCCAGAGGAGCGTCTGTCCCTGTTCCCTCTTCACTTGTTATGTCCGTTTCGAACTTGATAACCACTTAGCAGTTGGTGTGAAGGTTAAATTCATATGCAAATACTCTCTGTTCATGACCCAATCAGTTAGCCACAGCATACAGGTATGTAGTTGTAACAATGACATCATCGTAATTTTAGGGAAGCCAAGGAGTCACTGTCACAACTTTGCGATATGTAATGAAAGTCTACTTTGAAAATTTTCCTTTTAGGAACTTGACAATAAACAAGATTACATCTTTACAAATTTACGATCATACATTTGGCTGTCATCTATACTTCTAATATACTGGCACATTCAGTTTATGGTGCAATGAAGTCCATTTTCATCATAAATAGAAATACCGATGATAACTCTCGGTCAGTTTATTATTAAAACAATGTGTGCAATAAATGGAATATGTTATAAGTAGTTAACGCGAAAGCTTCTAATTAAACGTTACAGTCTGTAGAAGTGGATATACATTAATCCTGCCAAACCTTTCCAAAATATTTTTGGCTTGATCAGTTTATACAAACGAAGCAAAACCAAGAATATTGCCACTCCGAGCCTGCGACACTGTCCATCGGCGCGTTTCTGTCATCGCACGTTTAGCAAGGGACGGTAGTCTTTTCATATGTAAATTGTTTATATAAAATCAAATTTATCCTTAAATTCATCGAGCATAGCGATAAATAAACGAGAGAGACAAACGCACCAGTCGCAATTGCAGCGCTTTCCTTGCATTGTGCGACCTTGGACGATAAATTCGGGGATTCCCTCATTAACAATTAAATGCACTACGGTTTGGACTTGTGTCACAATACGTCGGGAATATTAATTAAAATGCAAAACACTATGGCGCCCTCCATGTTTTACAGACATGGAATTCCCCGATAATCAAAGCTTACACATGTAAGTGAAGTATATTTATGTTGTAAGAAGCAGAGAGGGTGTACAGACAACTTGCATTTGAACAAATATAGCCCGATATCGATGAAATACTAGTGCTAATCGCAGATTTGAATTATTCCTAGAATTACATGAATTTCTTTCTAAGATCATAATATACATTACAGGCAAGTTTTTCCGACGTTAAATCGATTCGTTCGGTTGCATATCGTGTGCTGCTATGCCTGAGACCTCTTGAAACTAAAACGCGATCAGAGAAACAACGAAAGATGTTTTAAACTATTGATCTTCATTGTCAGAGCTGCTTGATTTCTCAGAATTAGACTTATGCCCCGACTCGCTGCAATTTACATTTGTTTTATTAATTCAGATATTTCTTTCAGTCGTCTCACCCTTCCTTACACATAGAGGTCTTAAGTGATGAACAACGTTTTCTATGCTCCTTAAACTAGGATTGTTTCCTTGATATCTGTTTCTATGATGCGGAAGTAAGCAATCCTTGTTTTGTTTACATAGTTCATATGATAACCTTGCTCCTGTTACTAGGCGAAAGGAGAGAACAACATAGACGAATGAACACCCGTTGAGAGTGACCCTAAGAACCTATAAAACCGCAAAACATTTTTTTGCAAAGATGAGCTTTTTAGATTGATGAAGCATTTTAACTTTCGCTTTCGTTTGTTTCCTACGCGATGAAGATGTTAGCTCGGTAACTAAATGCGAAGCTTGTTTATTCCCGACACAAATATCGAAGTGTAATATTGATACGTTGAAGCAAAGTTATGTACTAGATGATTTTATGTTGTCTACTTTCCTTGTTAGTGCATGTTGAATTTGAAATAGCATGAAAGGAAAGTTGTGCTCTTGTAAATTTTGTACTAAGTGAATGATGTTCACTCAAGTGACTTGAGGACTCTTTAGACTTTTCTGAGAACTGGACTTGTTCACGCTCAACTGTGCATGTTTACTACCTGGTATATTTTTACTCCCCTAATTTCAGCCTTATACCGCTCAGTTTTAAATTTGCATTTGCAAGTTGACATTTTGAACTGTAAAGAAAACCTTCTTTGTTTATTGTTATAGGCCTCTGCTCACACTCGGCTGCGCATATCTTTGTTTTCCTGTGACCATACAGCTCACTCACTTGCGCGATCCCAGGGCTCTAAGTTCCGAGTTGGGCCCTTTTCTAAATTTAAGTTCTTATTAGCTCCTTGATGGACTAATTTTACAAAAAGTTACTATGAATAGGAGAAAAAAAATTCCTTACACCGCCGACCCTGTAATCTGAAGAGAATTCCTCCTAGAGGTAAGAGATCATCATTCTTGAGTGGAGAATGGGCATCGATATAATACCTCATAAGGCCTAGTCAACACCGGAATTCCTTCTATCTTTCAAAAATGTCACTTATTAGCTGACTTCAAATTCTCTTATCCACTTCTTTTAAGGGAGACATCAACACCGACCTAGAAGAATACAGCACTAATATTTCCTGAATGCCGGGATATACGTTTTCTATGAACGGCACAGTTGATTCACGCTATTTGTGTTTACGGTGCAAAAACATCCTCAAAGATCCAGTCCAGACGGGTTGTGGCCATGTTTACTGCATCTCCTGCATTCCTCACCTCAAGAGGTAACAGAATCACTGATCATAATCTCAATAAATTTCGAAAAACAAGCCTAAACAAAGCTTTGTTATAGGAGCTCTGCAATGTAAAATAATCTCAAGGGTTCATACACCTTTTGCAGAGGTGTGTAGTAAATATATGGAGGTTTTGGTTGGCCGAGGTAGCGAGGAATCTAATGCACTCTAGTGAAATATTTTGCTCACGTAAAAAAACAATAGAATTGCCTACATTAGCCTCATCAGTAAAGCATCCAAATTTCAACGTTACGAATTTTTCAATTGACAGGGATGATGGGACTTATATCTGTCTTGTTGACAAGGCACCCTTCGCAGCAGACCAGGTAAATTTGTAAGGACACATTCTTAACATGAAAAGGTATTGTTGGTGTTAAAAGATCCAATATTAATCAAGTCGAAGACCTGCTTTGATAACTTTTTTAACGAAAACGTTTCTTTAATTTGTATGCAGATATTCCACGACAACTTTATGAAGCGCGAAGTTCTTTCCCTCGTAGTCACATGCCCTAATTCATCGGATGGCTGTAAGTGGAAAGGAGAAGTGAGACATATTGAGGTAAGTCAAAGTAAGAAAAGCCAAAGAACCAATCAGAATACAAATCGCAAGTAGGATTTATCTTCTGGAAGGGGAAAGGAGAAAGTCTAAATTTCATTGGTTGAGAAGGGGGGGCCAATTCTTTGGGAAAAATAAAATTGACAATCGCGATCGAAATTGCTATCTTTTTTACCTGTAAAGAATAAATCTTCATATTCCCTACTAATCTCCTCTCGAATCCTAGTCTGTTGTTCTTCGATGTGTTCTGCCGAAAAAAAAGTTAACTTTTCCTTCTCCCAACAATGCGCACCGGTAGGCAAAGATAATAATAGTACAGAGTTGTCTTACTTGTACAAAGTGTATTCTTAGGACTGCTGCTAAACTATATCACGCGAGGAAAAAGTCAAACAGCACACAAAGAGCAACGCTTGATAGAGGCGTTATAATTTTCTTTTCCGTCTTCTGTAGAAACACCAGTCTACCTGCCCTGAGGAAAAAGAAAAATGCTCCAACCATAACTGTCAAAAACTTGTGAAAAGATCCGATCTTCAGCGACATCAGGAACACGAGTGTCCGTATCGCACCCAACAGTGCTCCTTGTGCGGTGATTCTATGACTGCTGCTGTTCTTAAGGTCAGTTTGATCACCCTTCTAAAGCTACTTTTACCGCAATGACACTTCTAATTCAGGCGCTTTTTAAATCATATGACCAGTGTAGTTTAGTTTGTTTCAAGGACAACACCATAATGCCTTGCTTTTCATATATGCGTATGATTAAAATTAACTCTAAACCATTTGCAATAAGTGACAACAAATGGCCAACTCCTTTTAACATGTCCAGAGCGCCTCTTTCCTTTATCATCGGTTTTCCGCGTACAATTGCATTCACACGTACCTTTATTGAATCATCTTCAAAACAAATGAATTCTCACCAACTGTTTTTGTCTCGATTCCAAATTTTTAGACTCATCAAATACAGGATTGCAAAATGTATCCCATTCAATGTCGCGGATGTGGAAAAGAAGGAATTCCGCGAGGAGAGGTAGCCATGTTTAAAACGTCAACTAATTGCATGCACATTTCTCCTGGTGGACAGCCAAAACAGTTGAACAGAATTCGATTATTACTTTCAGAAATTTATCTCAAAGCTAAGGAAGAAGTTTTACCCTATTCTTATGAAGCGCTACATTTGCATCAGTATGTGTTATTTTTGCTGTTGATTTATTTCATTTTTGTAGTGCACTAAAGTCTGCAGAATTACATCGTACAGGTGTCCACCTTTCCTTCAAAAAGAGCAATAAACCAAATATTACACTGCTCTTCTAAGACACGGAAATTTAGAGAAACCCTTCAGAGTTGTCGACGTAAGCTTACAAATAAGATTTTTACCCTCCTTTAATTTCAATCCTCACAGATGGATAGCCATGTTAATCCCATTCATGGTGACTGTGAGGCGGTCGAGAGGACCTGTGCATTTGAACAGATTGGTTGCAGCAACAACAAGGTTCGTATCATAATGAAGGTTTCACCTAGTTGCCTTTTTAAAACTATTGAAATAAAATTTATCCTTCGTATGGGCCACCTACCGAAGTGATAATAAAGTTCCCCCGGTGTTTCACTATTCGAAACACTGGCGTGTTAAATGAAGTCCCCTTCAAAGCCGTTTTATTGAGATGTCTAACATCTTCAAAAACGGCTGCAAAAGATGTTCAACCAGGGACACTAAATCTACGAAAAGTTGCAATAAAAGTATCAAAAAAGCAAAAACGATTTGTCAAGTAGAAATTTCGTTTACACACACCAACCAAATAAATAATCAGGGATGATTTTCTTAAATCCCTGCACTAACAGAAAATGAAGCAATCCGAGGTCAAGAAACATAATGAGCTGACTGCAATTTTGCACATAAATCTACTTTTGACGAGTGTTCTTCGGCTGGAGGAGCAAGTTAAAAGTCAGCTCTCTATGGGTGGTGCATGGGGTGGTGGCACCTCCGATCAGTGGATGAGACGATCGGAGATGACCATCGCTAACGCCATATCAAGCATCGACACAGTGGTACGCGAGCAAACCGACTTACGACAGAAGCTAGAAGATAATTCTATGAGACTTGTGTCGATGGAAAAAAGAGTTTCAACCCATAGAGACCAGTTCCCACAATCGGCAACTTTCTCTTCGTTACAACCACTCCCCATTTCGGACCAGATTTCACGACGTCTCACAAATGCCGAAAATGGCACCAATAACATCGAGTTCTTAGTAAACGAAACAAGGCGTGAGTTGAACGAAGTCAGACAAGAAGTATCGTCTGTTAAACGCCAATTGGATGGCGCAGTGGACAGTATTAGACGACTCGAACGAAGAATGGAGTCTGTGGAACACAATTTGGCGCTCAGAAATGTTGTTTTGTCGGATATCGAAGAACATATTCAACAGCAGCAAGTTTCTACATATAATGGGATCTTACTCTGGAAAATATCGGATTTTGCACGTAAGAAAAATGATGCGGTAACTGGGCGAGAGGTCTCAATATATAGCCCGTGCTTTCATACCAGTGAGCATGGTTACAAAATGTGCGCGCGACTTTACTTAAACGGCGATGGAATGGGTAAAGGAACCCATCTGTCGCTGTTCTTCGTTGTCATGCGTGGAGACTACGATGCATTGCTCCGCTGGCCATTCAGACAGAAGGTGACCTTCATGCTATTAGATCAAGATAACGTAGAGCACGTGGTTGATGCTTTCAGACCCGATCCAAACAGCTCATCGTTTCAAAGGCCACGAAGGGAATCAAACATTGCGAGTGGGTGCCCGATGTTTTGTTCTCTATCGGAGTTAAATAACCACGCCTATGTGAGAGACGATGTTATGTTCCTGAAAGTTATTGTAGACACGACAGATCTCTGAAAATGTCGGAGCTTTGAGTGAGGGTGAGGAAAAAACGGTAGAGATATCTAAGAAATATCCAAAAACTTGAATACTTTCTTGAAGAAAGGGGAGTAGTTTCTGTGAAATTACGCGAGAAAAAACAGAGTAGAAAAAAAAAATTTCCATAGCATTCAACATATTTTCTTCGACAAGTATTGATATATGGAATGCCCTATTAGTTCTTATAGCACAGTAATTGTAGGAACGACTTGAAATCGATAGAGTAGTCCTCTGCATGAAAAGCGCATGCGAAAGGTATATAAAGAAATGTAGTGCAAATGCAAGATAGGGCCCCTTTTGACATTCTATAGAGCCTTTTATAATCCTGGTTACACTGAAACAGGATTCTGATGTAGTGCATGAGTACTCTACGAAAAGGTTTATATGAAGCCAACTGATTAGTCGTATTTGATGCGGCATCAATAGTGTGAATTTGACTTTCTAAATCCCCTTTAAAACTTTTATCCAGCATTTTACTGATCACATATTTTTTGAAAGTCTTAAGCGATTTACGGAAGTATTTTCCGAGCTTTGCCCCAGGAAGAAAAAGCAGGGGAAGCTAAGAAAAACACAGTATATGGGTCGAATTGTTTTGAAGCACCAAGTAATTTACGTGTAGGAAATATTCGATATTCTACAGCATTTTCGCACAACCGAGGGGTGGCTAACCTTAGCTAAACTCGCCGGTTATTCCAGTAGACCCTTTGAATGCAAATTCTGTAAATAAGAGCTTTATTCAATTTCACTGAACAATTCCTTTTATCGATATTCTCTACACCATATCAATCATCTATCGAGTTATAATAAAATAGTTAGAATGTACGGTACGTTTGCGTGTAAGGCAGCAGATACAAAGTTTTTTTGCTGTAATCGACTTTGATGTGTCATTACAACGTTTTCACCTACAAAGGCAAGTTGCAGTAATTCATACGATGAGGAAATCACTTAGTTGTTTCCCTTGTTGTTGTTGTTTCCCTTGTTGTTTTTATTTATCTTTTCTTTTTCAAAACCTAAAACCCATACAAAAACCACTCGAAGCCAGTTATTACGGTGGGTAAGATTATTTCGGTAATTTCAACCGATAGCATTATGTGTGCGATCAGCTGACAGTTGTCACCAGCAACGGCGATTTTTTAACATTTTTCAAGTTAATTTTTGCTCAATATCTAATAGAGTTTCAACAATAAGCCAAAATCTTTCAGAACAATAAAATTCAAACGTTTCATGTCTTAGCGTTTAAAACGAGTGAAATCTGAACTATTTCTATCTTTACTATCATCATCATTATAATTATTATTATTATTATTATTATTATTACTATTATTACGTTTATAATTAAGAGTTTATAGGTTCGAAATTTCTATCGCGCACAGCAATAGACAGCGATTGATCTAATTGCTTTCGAAAAAGCAAAGTTTTTCAAATCTCAGCAATAAGGCAGGCTCATTTCTTCATTGAATAATAGCTTATCATACGTGCCACACACTTTACTCAATGTTTATAAACAAATAGAGAGCAAGTAGCGCAGCCAATAAGATTGCAGCATCTTTCATAGAACGGTGGAAGATTATGTCAATTGCTATCGTTAGTATTTTTATCATAATTTGTCACTGCATTGTATAAAGGCAGCGAACTTTTTGATTTTGAGTGGTTAAATATAATCAATTAAAGTGGTAAAAGACAACGAAAAAGATTAAGTCTGGTGAGAATAGTATATATTCTTCTAAGAAACTAATAAAACGAGGCGAACTCATTTGATAAACATGGCGAGTAACAAAATAGAAGAGAAATTTATGGTTTAAAATTTATGGCATAAATTTCGTGTTTTATTTTGATTTGGCTGGTCCTCGTTCATGTCTTATTGAAAGAAAATGAAACGGGGAAAATCCTAAAAAAAAGTCGGTAAAAGTCGGTAAAACAAAAACACACCCCCTTAAAATAGTACCAGGCCTCAGTTTGATAGTGAGTGTTTGGGGTCAGAAAAGGAAACTACAATGTCTAACTTCCAGTATGTCCACTACGCTTTGCTACAGTGCAGAGGTTGAATATGCTGAACCGAAGATTATTATATAGCATTGTTACAATGAGTGTTGGGAGTAGTCGAGACTTGCTCGGCTTTCCTTTTTTTGCCAAATTTCCTTTTTTTACTTGGTATATTTTCGATGATCACTAACATATATATATAATGTATTGATATAGGAAAAATCCCCATCGCAATACATATCGCGCTCTACTTTTACGTATCGAGCACTGTAAAACGAGAAAATCAAAACACAAGACTTCCTAGATATATATATATACATATATATATATATTCATATATATATATATATATATATATATATTCATTTTCAACTTTGTAGCTTCATGCTATAAATTTAGCTACTAGTGTTTTAGGCACTACAAGTATAAGAACCCTAACTATTTGGGTACTTACTTATGGTAGTTTCGTTTATCATCGTTAGCGTTGTAAATAGAGTGAGTTTGTTAGTATAGTAAAAGCAAACAAAAAAAGCAAAATATATTGTCGCGTTTTTTTGGATATAAACATCACCATGGGATAATAACTACAATTTTCGCCATCTTATTAATGTTCCAATTTTGATGACCATGTGCTCTGCACTACAATCGTCTCTGTAAGATTTTGTCATAGTAAACAAATGTCGCATCACGGAAATGCCAATTTAGACAACTGCGAAACAGGAGAGCATGACGCTTCTCCTTTGGGTGTTGAAGAGACTCGAAGTTTTCGACCAGGCCCTAAATTCTTGGCTTTCCTCACGGTAATTTAGTTATTAGAATAGTGCACTCATATTGCAGGGATAACGCTTTGAAATCCCATAAAGCCCTGATCTTTCTCATTTTTTTGAGCTCCTTTATCTAGATGCATGAATTGATAATTCCACTGCTTAGAAACTAGGCACTGTATTATAACATGCTGGATCCTTACACAACAGTAATTTTAATACTTCCTTGAAATATTGTAAATATTCGATTAGATGTTAAGTTTGTGATTAATTTTTTTAACAATTGCTTAAGAAATACTTTGAATTAGTTTCTAGCGCTCAAAATTAGTTTAGCTAGGAGAAATTAAACACAAATAAAGTTTCTTACTTTATCTTATCTCATAGTTTTGTCAGCTATTACACTTTCAACGAAAGGAACATCTAGAAACATATCTACCCTACAATTCTATGTTCTTTTAAATTAAAATATTCAGTCATTTTTCACCACGCTATGAGTTCGTTTTAAAAGACTTTAGGCATAGATAAAACTGAGCACTGCGTGATATTGTCTAAATGACTTATCTATAGTTCTAATAAACCCTACTTTCAATTTTTTCTTTCATTGCAACACTGTTTCCTTGTTTGCAGTCTGTCTGTAGTTTTTTTTTCTTGTATTGGTTGATATTAGGGCACCATGTCACTACCGTACCTACTTACTGCTGTGATTCAACTAAGAAACCATGGAAATAGCGCCTCGAGTTGAATTATAATGTTATCTACACAATATAAGCGACTTAGATGTAGTTAATGCTGCATGTACATTTTTCCGAGGATGGTAGCTAAAATATAGCGCCACCAAACAGTACACTGTTCTAGACATTGGCCTACGCTGTTTTCGCCAGCAAAATTCCTCGTTTTAGTGCACAGACAATGGCAGTAGTACCTCTTCCTACCACGGTCGCAAGTTTGAAATTAGTCACTTGCCTGGTTTAGACTTGGAATTGTACCAATTCCTACCAAACATACTGCATTTACTATTTAATAGACTACTGTTTGACTCTTCTCCACCTTTTCACAAAATAAACACTTTACAGGATTCCAAACTGAGATCCTGGGTCAACAAGATAATAACTAAGAGGTTTCTAGGCAGGGAAGCACGAAGTTTCAATCTCTTATGTAGCATACTGCAAACCTCGCACAAATCGTGTGCCAACCTTGTCCCATTGTGTTACCAACCACGCGCCATCGTTATGACAATTGTTTGCCAGTTTTGACTGAACCTTGCACAAACGGTATGTCTCCTTAGAAATGTCTGCCATTATTTCCCTGCAAAAAAACCTACGCGAATGCTATCAAAGCGGCACAATGACTAAGGTCTGCATTGCTAATGGTAAGGTGATAGATCTTCGAATGTTCGCCAGTAGGGGGGAAGGAAGACATATTCTGTCTCCTCCTTTAAGTGAAAGCCACAGCCGACACACTTAATGGAGAAAAGAGCTTGAAAGCTGTTCAGCCATTTCTGAAGGACAAAGTAAAAATGATCACCCTAGTTTCGTTTGTAATTTTGCATTATAACATACATCTTGGGAATGTAATCTGCCTTTTTCCAGGAACAAAACTGCTCCAGATCAGTACGATAACAAGCAGTGAAACTGGGATAAAAGGTGTAACCCAAGAGGGGACCGTTATTTGAAGGAGGTTATTCACCAGTCACAGGTGAGCTCTTGGCCAATGAAGAAAATAAATGCAGCGCACCATGATGATATTGTGCAGCCCCAAATATTAACACATATGCTACCTCTTAACACTTAAGGAAAACATACACTCAAAAAAAAACTGGCAGGAGGCAGTGCAAGATTCACGTCGCCAACCAGTGATAGAGATCGCTTGCAAAAGCTCCATTTCATCTTTCTCGTAAAAGTTTATTTTAAGTTAGAATTATTTATTTCCATTATTCTGAAAGCGGGTAACTCGACGTTGTCACTTTCCTGATTATACGTTTGCTTAATATGTGTAACTTGACGCAAAGGAAATTACCGTATTTCGAAGTGCTCGATTTTGGCAGCAGAGATCAATTTCCGAATCGCTCGATGAATTTCAACGGGGAACCTAACAGTAACAATGCTGTCGTTATCATGGCTGGGACAACTGAAGTTAGGCCACCCAAGGGTTATGAACTGGCGCGATTAGCTCCCTAACCGCTCTCAATTGCTTTATGCTGTTTGGATGTATCCAAATGAGCGTCAATTTCAA